TCTTGGGGGATAGCCTGCACAGGCAGGGGAGGTAGTCGCCCTTGAGGCGGCGTGCTTCTTCCCTGATGCATTTGCAACTGACGTCGTGTAAACTGGCTCTCATCAAACATGCTGTTGGGTTTGTTGAATAGGCCGGCTGCTGTGGCTTTCCCATGGTCTTCCGGGTTCAGAGCGGCCATCAGGGGGGCTTTATCCTCATTCTCGCTGGCGGGAGGACTTAACGGAGGGGCACCGTACGCAGAATCTGCTTGAGTTTGCGGTTCCCTGGGATTCAATCGGGCAGACTGTTCTGGCGACCTGGGCAGCGAGGGAGGGCTGGTTGGCCGCGAATTGGTGCCGGCGGGTTCGGCAATAGTAAGTGGCTGCAGCCTGTCGCGTAAGTTCGTGGCGCTTCTAGAAAAGGCACGGTTCAGGGGAGGCAATTCTGGACCCGCTCCGCGCTGGCGGCTCAGGCTTTCTAGTCGTTGCAAGGTGGAGGTCTGCTGGTTCTGCGCTGACTGTGCCAAACCTTGTCCATACAGACGGCGGGCTTTGACCGAGCCACGCTCAGGAGCCATGTTCGGCACTGGCGGCTTAGACTGGGAGGCTTGCGTGTCCGCCGAATTTGTTTGCGACGGAGGTGCGATGAAAGATTGCTCGTCGAAAGATGTTGCCGCTGTCGATGTACGCCCATTCGAAATGGGCCCAGATGCCGTTGAGGAGAAAGTTGTTCGCTTTGTGGAACCAGCGCTCGATAGTGCATCCTCTGATTCCTGAGTCGGACTGTCCTGCGGTGTGTCCTCTGTCGCCGCATTTTCGCGCTCGGCTATCTTCAGTCGTTGAAATGATGACATGGTTAAATCATGGTCATAGAGCGCACGGCCCCCCATTCGTCCGGATTCTGTGTTCCCTCCTGAGGTCGTCTTGGAGGAGGGAATCTTGTACACCTTTTGTCGTCCACCGAACAAGTTGTTGCCCTCAGCTCGACGAGCCCTGCTCATAATGCTGCCCTGCTGGGAAGGATCGTCGTCCGTACCATATCCATTATTGCTATCCGAGGCGAGAGAGTGAGTGCGCCCAAGGTTCATCGACGGCCGACTGCCGTCAATGGAGACCTCGTCAATGTCCGACAGGAGGCTGGGGTTGTGGCCAAAGAGGTTCAATCGCGAAGCACGCCGGGGGAAGAGCACACTGTCGTCGCTGGCTTTTCCGATCATCGATTCCGGATCGTCTTGTTCCCTCAACATGCTGAATCGTGCGGATAGTTTGGGCATCAGGAGACTGGTGCGAAAGTCGTCGGTCGAGGGCAATGCATTGGAAAGGTCGAAGTCTTGCTTTTCCTCGGGTTCCTCCTTCTTGGACTTCTTCGATAACATAGAGCTGAGGCTGACCGAGCTGGCTTCGGAGTACTCGCCCTCTTCCCTCACCTTCTCCTTCTTTGTCTTGCGAAATCGGTTCATGATGGTGTGACGGCGGTGTGTAGAGAGCGACAGTCAAGGCGAACGTAGGGGGTGGAGATTCGACAGTCGAAGTTCACGGCGTAAAGGAGTGACAGCCGATCCGACACCTACACCGAAGAGCCAATCCTGGATAAGATCCAAGCCGTCAGATACGCTGAGGTTGCACAATGGAAGGGTGCTCGATGGGTCTTGAACCTACCAGGTGAGAGCTAGAGCAAGAGAGAAATGAGCGAATGGATGGGACGAGGGTGGTGGTGGTGGAATAGCTCGAGGAATGGACGCTATTCCAAATTCCCGGTCATCCCCTGGGAATGCCAGTGTAACGGAGGAGGAGTTGAGCCAATTGCCAATAGTAAGCGTCGCTTGCCGGGTGGGGTGGTTTTAGGTCGATAATGCGCGAGAGAAATAATAATTGCTAGCGATGAAGATACCAAGTCCAAGAACTAAGGATAGATGCTAATATCGGTCGGATTGGACAGAAGGGGCGTCTGCATGAGCCGGGTAAGGAATGTGGCTGCACCGTCGACAGCGGAAGCGGAGTAAGTAGATTATTACTATTTGATGCTGAAGCCGGTTGGATACTATCCGGTGGAGAGTGACCCCCAAGAAATTGATTGCTGGAGTCGATAGTTCGAGGGGACGGCGTTGAAAGCGCAATTGAATAACGAATGTGGTTCCGGTAATATGGAAGAGGATGAGGGGGTGAAGGGGAAAGGAGAGACAGTGACCGAAGAGTATGCGACGCGAGAAAGCAATGCAAGAGAGAAAAGAAAAGAGAGGAAGAGAGAGAGAGAGCTGGAGGAAGGCGAGAGAGTAGAATGGAAAATAAAATAAAATGGGGAAAAAAAGAGCAACGATCGCTTTGGAAGGTATGGAAGACTAGAAAAAAAAGAAGGGATCTGGATTCCTTTCGATCGTCATTCTGGTTACCCTTTATTTTTCTTGATGGGGTTTACTGTATTGGTCTTTTTTGTCCCATTTTTCTCATCTTCCCCATCTCAGGTCCCAAAGTATTATTCCATTTTCTATTTTCTTTTTTTCTACTGCCTGTTTAATCAAAGCCAATGATTTGACATTGACTCAATGGGCTACCACTTTTCAGACTTCTCTCCGTCCCTCACAAGCTGACGGGGGGAAGCAGAAGCGTGGAAAGTGGATTATGATTCTGAATGACTGGATTGAATTATTATTTTTATTATTATGTGGGATCGCATTATTGGGGCCCAATTGGCCAGCGCTGCGATGGTCGCTGGAACCCAAAGCGGATCGACACGAGATTCGCTGGCCAGTTTTCCAATCCCATTTCAATGTGTCTTTTTCATCTTCCGACGGCCGAATTTTCAGTGCAGCGTGGCTGTCCTTATTATGTTATTTTCTTTTTCCTTCTTTTTCTTTACTTGTTCTTCACCGCAATTGATAACCAATCTTGTGAAGAAACACCTTGCAAAATAGCCACTGCTAGTTACTTCCTAACCTCAAAATTTCAGCCAGCTGGAAACTGGGGGCAGACCATATTATTTCCCCTCAGGCACCGACTCCACCTGTGCTCCGGTGCCTGGATCATAACAGAACCCGAAACAGATTAAACTGTCACGAAATCCATGGATGAGTCTTGTCCATACCGTACGGTACCGCCGACCAGGACCCAATTGCCCCTTGCAGGCTCCACCAACCATGAAATGAACTGCAAATCGGATGGAGCTCTGGTCACTGGGTCCTGGTCGGGTACCTTACTTACCACTCCTATAATCCTATTACCGTATTGTCGTCCCTGGAACTGGCTGGGAAGGAGGTTACTTACTTAGATAGAGTACCTGCCAAGGTTTGTTTGTTTCTCTTCTCTTACTGATGACAACTAAACAACCACTTCTCGCCGACCTTTCCTATAACTTACTACTCTTGAATGCCATTTTAACTTTGGGATTGTGCAACAAACAGTAATCTTAATATCCCTCTTTTTCATCATGACCGGAAACCCAATCTCGTTTACGGAAAGTAAAGACAACGAAAACATTTCACTTACACAATCATTTATGACCGCGTCTCACGGGATGTGGGCCGATCTGGGGCTGAGGGCTGAAGCCTAAGCCTCAAAAAAGTCCTCGCGACCTCGAGTACTACTTAATTAAGTAGTTAAGTGGCTAGTATTGCTCAGGGCACACTTCACTTAACGCTGTGATGTGCACCCCCCTCAAACAAACTTCATTGGTGGTATTCTGAAATCTAGTGAAGCAACTGCTGCCTTCCGGGACCCTCTTCATCAGGCAATCGGGGGGACTACCTTCAGAGGCAAAAATCTGAAGCGACCAGCTGAACTGGGACTTTCTTCCACCTCACCCTCGCGAGAATATGACCTATCTATCGGATGCTGTTTCATGCCCTTTGAACTTTATCCCAAGACCGCTAGAGGGGTTCCGGAAATTTGGACGAGCGGGACGATCATCTCGACTGCCGTCGGGTAGACTACACCATGTCACCACCATCATATTACTGGATCGATAGTAGGATTAGCCGGAGGTGTCTGTCCCCACGCTACTGTCGACGCGAGTATTTGATATCATCCGCATTAGTAGACGGTTATCGCGTCGTCCTAGATAGACTCACGGACGCAATCGGAGTACATGGCCTGCAGTCCTCCTGCATGGACATGTATCCGATGCAGCTAGTCGCGATCAAAGCATACGAAGTGCTCCGCAATCTGAGCTCTCCTCCCGCGCCATACCAATGTCAAATACTGATTTAGATACTGTAAGTCCGGAGTACTCCGTGGAGCGCATCCAGTGCCATAATTGAACATGCATGAAATAGCGCATACCCCTCTTTGAGATAGGGGGCAAACAAGAGGTCCAGCATGACTCGCTAGCCAAACAGGGCCATCAGCAAGGCAAGTTTTAGCAGCATGGGGATATAACCCTGAGGAGCACCTTAATCCGAACCGTCTCTCAAGAAAGTTCATGCTCCGACAAGTGATAGTCCTGACTAATCACACTGGGAACCGGATTCTCGTGCGGACCAGGCGGCATGGTTCATCAGGCTTTTGGTTTAAGGTGGACCGGTTTGTGAGGTTCGAGATCCAGTACGTCATCCACGGTCTCCATTGATATTCCTGGTGAACCTAAGCATTTGGTGGATGCTTAAGAGAATGGGGGATAGCAGGGCAGAAAACGTAGAGTGATCGAGTCAGGGTCACGGGTCTGGTTTCGGGAAAGAAATTGACAGCCGTTGGATGGTCGAACCTACTTTGGATTTTGATGACCAACTAGCTCTACTTTTACCTCCTCCTTACGGGTATGGTACCGCCTTTATTCGGATGGGGCTTTCCCAGGAGAGAGCAGCCTCACCCCGAGGGGAATTAAAGTCAAGTCACAGGATCAAGCCAGCAGTCAGACTAGCAGTCTGTCAGCCAGCCAGTCGTGCCCCTGACTAGACCATATTTTGGTTAGTCATTACGCCCAGTGGTACGGAAACTATACACTACTGACTGATAGTACACAGTAGAAAGGGAGGAGAGAATGTTAGAATCTTCGTGAGCACACAGTGAGTATTTGCCATGAAGCTAGACTAATGGGTAAGGATTTGTAGAAGAGAGTCCGGTAGTGGCAGACCAGACGGGACTTGGGCCGGATTATCTCCGCTCGTTCGGTAGAACTCTGGCACAGACAAACAAACAAAGAAAGGCACAGGCACGACGTCGGTGGGTGCACTGCAATAATCATTCATCTTACTTGGCTGGCTTAGCATACGCGGCATAAGATAAGAAACAATCATAACTGGAGTGAATCACATCGACGATAGTCAGCCACATCATCATGAAGTCATTAATCTCGTCCCCATCCCGCGTCTCCATCCTCTCCTGCAGCCTGTCATTCATTCATTTAGTATAAACAAGACAAGACAAGAACCAGCAGATGCTGCCAAGGTCAAGGCACAAGACCCCCATCTCTTCCCGCGCTGGAATTATCGCTAACCGGTGGTTGGACCAGACCCAAGAAAGGCCCAACCAAGAATCCTCGACTCCTCCCGAGGGTTCCAGATCAGTCCTTTCGACCTTCCCTTAATTAATTCAATTTCCGAGATCCATAATGGAAGAGGGGAAAAAGAAGAGGAGAAGCATTTCTGACTAATCCCATTCAACCTAGGTTCCAGACATCCACTAACTTACTAGCTAACAAACGAACGAACAAATAATTTCCGCTATTATGAGCGAGCATCGGCCACGGCTCGAGGTTCTTTTCTCGTTGAGAAAGAAAAATTGCGAGAGAGAGAGAGGACCAATCCATCCCCGATCGACTGGCTCCCTGGGATCGAAATTGTCCGCTACTCAAGCTTCGCGCGGAAATAACTTCTCCTTCCAACCGATCGGCCGGTGTTTCACTTCCAGCGGGGGTTAGAGATGCGAGTTCCTTTCATATCCCCAATGCCATCTACCTGGTCTTGGTCTGGAACTTTACACATAATTGAGGAGAGATGGGCTCCTGGAACATCCTAGTGTGATACACACACACCCTGATTGCCGAGTAATAACAGTCCAGCCTTGAATCCGGCTCCTGGCAAGGCTCGTCTGATCGACAACCACACCATCACCACAGATTGTTTTATCAAGGGGCATCGCAAGGCGGATCTCTATCGAACAGATGGCTGGCTGGCTGGCTGGCTGCCATGGAGATGTTTACTGCAAAGGACAATGGGGTTTTCTATCCCACACTCGCCCTTGCAGCACCTAAGACATTGTGCACGAACACAACATCGTAAGAGAAATGTTAGAAGAGCTGCTGCCTGCAGAGCTGTGACACTTTGCGTATGCATTGAATACGCCGTAGACAAAACAGACGGTCATGCACATGACGCCATCCGACCGCGGTGTAACCAGTAACCACTGACTTACAGCATCTTCTTACAGTAACTTTAGTTAACAGCCAACAGCTCAAAAAACATCAACCCCTCTCGGCATTACTAATCCGTTCTCCGCACCGAGCCGGGCCTTAACAAAACAAGCTCCAACTCTGGAGCATCAAGCTCAAACATACCAGCTCTCAATCTTCTCTATCAGATTTCCACTAAACCGATACAGCTACAGCTCCATCTAACATATCAATCAATTCGACAGATCCATCACCACCATGCAAGTCCTCCTATTAGGCGGCCACGGCAAAGTAGCCCTGCAACTGACCCCGCTTCTCCTCGCCCGCTCCTGGAACGTCACCAGCGTCATCCGCAACGCCGAGCACGAGAACGAGATCCTCGCTCTAGGCAAAGGCGCCAAAGGCAAACTGAACGTTCTCCTCTCCAGCCTCGACGATGTGAATAGCGACGCCGATGCCAAGAACATCCTCGACCGCGTTTCCCCAGACTATGTCGTCTGGTCTGCAGGTATGTATAATGCGCCCAAACCATGCAAAAAGCCGTGGTTGGGATTGAAACATACCCACAATCCTATTAAGACAATCTGCATCCTCCCCCCCCCCCCCCCCCCCTGCACACCTGCAAGCCCAGCTCAAATCCACACATCACATCCAACGCCCCCAATTCCAATCCACTCATCCAACGGTCCCCCAAAATACACACCACCACCCAAACTAACCAAAACCATAGGAGCCGGCGGCAAAGGCGGACCCGCACGCACGCACGCCATCGACGAAGTAGCAGCAAAGCACTTCCTAAGCGCCTCATTCTCACACCCAAGCGTACGCAAATTCCTCCTCGTCTCTTGGATCGGCAGCCGCCGCAAGCAACCCACCTGGCTATCGGACGACGAATGGGCGGGTCTCCAGAACGTCTTCTATAACGTCCTCCCCGCATACGCCAAGGCCAAGCTCGAAGCGGACGAGTACATGACTGCGTTGGCGGCGGCGCGCAAGAAGCTTGTTGCTGCGGGGGCCGCGCAGCCCCTGCAGGCGATTAATCTAAGACCGGGGACGTTGACGGATACGCCTGCGACGAGGAAGGTGGATCTGGGGAAGACGAAGAAGGGCAGGGCCAATGTGTCGAGGGAGGATGTGGCCATTGTGGCGGATGCGCTGTTGGCGAGGGATGATGTTGAGGGGTGGTTGGATTTGTTGGAGGGAGGGGAGAATGTGGATGTTGCTGTTGAACGGGTTGCGAGAGAGGGGGTGGATGCTGTTGAGGGCGAGGATGTGGAGGGGATGATGAGGAGGTTTGGGTTGTAAGCCTGTAGTAGGTATGATACTTAGAATGATGCTGTAGTCATGATAATGATATTGAAATGAATGTTGATACGACTAAACCAATTCAATCAATTCATTGTTCCAACACTAGATAGTAGCATTATCATAGTATCCAAGACCAAAATAAATAAGAAATAAATCTATGTACACCACACACATGATCTATCCACACTCCAAGACACCACCAGGAACAAAACAACTACAACTTCGCCTTCGGCCCCGCAGCCCCAGCCCCAACGCCCTCCTCCTTCGCCTTCTTCTTCAACAACCTCCTCAGAATCTTCCCACTCGCACTCTTCGGAATCTCCTTCACAAAGGTCACGCCCCCTCTGAGCCTCTTATGATACGCCACCTTCCCATCCAACCATTTAACAATATTCTCCGCCTCCTGGGCAGCACTCACCCCGGAGTTCAAGCTCTTCGCACTCCGAACCACATACGCCAGCGGCACCTCGGTACCATGGGCCTCACTATCGATCCCAATAACCGCGACATCGTCGACAGCCTCATTATCGACCAGAATGCCCTCCAACTCCGCGGGAGCCACCTGGAAGCCCTTATATTTGATGAGTTCCTTGACGCGATCCGTGATATAGAAGTTGCCCTGGGGGTCCTGATACCCGACGTCACCGGTACGGAACCATCCGTCCTCGGAGAGACATTCCGCTGTGGCGGCGGGGTTGTTGTGGTAGCCCTGGAAGACGTTGGGGCCGCGCATGTACAGCTCGCCGACCTCGCCGGCGGGGACTTCAACAGGTTCGGACGCGTCCTCGGGCATGGTCATGTACTTGGCTTCCATGTTGGGGAGGAGTTTACCGACGGAGCCGATGGTGGAGCGCCATTCTTCCCAGGGTTGGGTGTGAGTGGTAGGGCTGGTTTCGCTGAGACCGTAGCCTTGCTTGATTCCGCATTTGATGCGGGCGTAGACGGCTTCGACGAGTTCTTGAGTGAGAGGGGCGGCGCCGGAGTTCATCATGCGGAGGGTGGAGAGGTCGTATTTCGAGACGATGGGGTGTTTGCCTAGGAGGAGGACGACGGGGGGTACCACGTAGCTGAATGTGATGCGGTAGTTTTGGACGTGGGAACACCATTTCTCGATGTCGAATTTGGTCATGACGTAGAGGTGCAGACCTTTGTGGATGGTTTGGTGAAGGAGGCAGGTTAGGCCTGGGTTGTTGGTTAGTGGGAATTGGGTGGGAGGTGAGGGGCCAAGGGGAGATGCGAACCGTAGATGTGGAAGAAGGGGAGGAAAGCTAGGATGCGGTCTCCTGTGCCGTCCACGCCGCCGTTCCAGGTGAGGTTGCCGGCTTCGCCTTCGGCGAGTTGGAGGATGTTCGCGACGATGTTCCGGTGTGAGAGCATCACGCCCTTGGGGACACCGGTCGTGCCGGAGGAGTAGACCAGGAAGGCGAGGTCGCGGGATGGGTTGACCTTGGGTTTGCGGAAGCGGGTAGCGCCGGAGATGTTGCGGATGGAGGTGAAGTGCTTGATGCGCGCTTGGGGGTCGCGCTGGTCGCCGATGAGGATGATTCCGTCCTCCGGAATGCCGGCTTCCTTCGCGGCCGCGGTGGCTACCGGGAGGAAGGGCGCCTGAGTGATGAGGACTTTGGCGCCGGAGTTCTTGAGCTGAAGGGCCAGCTCCTCGGCTGTGTATGCTGGGTTGGATGGCGACACGATGCCGCCGGCCCAGATAGCACCCCACATCACGGCTGGAGTGTCGATGCTGTTCGGGGTGAAGAGGGCCAGGACGTCGCCCTTCTTCCAGTCAAAGGTGGCCTTGAGGCCTTGGCCGAAGGCGAGGGCAGCATCTTTGACCTGTTGGTATGTGTAGGATTGCTGTGTGTCCGCATCTTGGTAGATTACTGCATGATGTCAGCGGGGAATTTTTGAACGAAGTATACCGGCCGCGCAAGTTCATAAGTTGATTATAGTGCTTCGCATGGAGTGTTGTGATGATCGAGAGGTGATATACATACCCTTATCATCTGGAAAAGGCTTATCTTTGCGTTCGAAAAGGAAAGACCAGATGTCAAGGTCTGGGATGTCGACGGGGGGATAGCGTGAGGAGACAGGCATGGCGGAGTTGTGCGGGGAAAAAGGCCGGGGAAGGGGAGAAGAGGGAGATCGGGGAATTAATGGCGCAGGGTTGTACAGGAATGGGCGATCACGAAGGTAAAAATAAAGAAGGAGGGGAGATGGTCTCTTGTATATGCGCCCGTCAGTGAGGGATGAAGGAAGGAGAGAGGAATGGAATGATAGACCGCTGTTTAAGAGACCGCAGGGAGCAAGTTGTTGCTCGGCCCTCGGCACTGCAAAAGATAAGCCCGCAAGCCGGGGTTTGGGTTAGTGAACGCTTGTTGGGGAGAAAAGTGGTGGAGAGTGGCCACGGATCGCCCGCCGCCCGTCTCTCCACATCCACGCCGAGGAACTGGCCGGCATTCGGCAATCAACGGCCTTGAGTGCCTAGAACCATGGCTGGTCTTTGGGGTTGACCACAACAGGGATTTCCAGGGGTCCGGTGTACCCGAAGATCGAAAGGCGACAAGCATTCATACCACCGATCTGGGTCCTATTTTTCAGATCATCAGCACATAGTAGTACTAGTACATAGTAGGGTGAATATATATCATTCATCGCAGTCCATCACACATAACCATTGGTAGAACTACCAGACATAGAATATATACATAGCTCATCATTACCGGCGATAATTACCCATTCCTCGTGCTTCTCGAGCGATTCCTGATCACTGTGATATCCACCTGTTTGGTGATTGCGCGCCCACCCATTCGTTCCCGCTCCATAGGATAGCTTCCCAGAATGTATTCTCGACTGTGTGGTGGCGGTGCATCCGCCCAGGTGCTGTATTCGGCGCGACTGGGAATTGGCGGACTGATTTTATATTGTGATCCGACTACTCGCGAACGGTTGCCACACGAGATATTTCGGACAGACGCGATAATCAGGGACCGAATGCATGGCATGGAGGCCGTGATGATAACCAGGTAACACTCCGCCAGCGCCCATCGAGTGAGTTGCACCGTCACTGCGGTTGGGTCAACACGCTCAGCGATAGATCCCAGGTGGACGATTCGCATGATCGAGGCCACCATAGCTCTGTGAGTGTGTAGTTAGCGATCTGAGATTATATGCTGGTCATTTCTCGAAAGAAGACGAACACTAAACCAAAGCCCATCAACACGACGAGGCTAATCTTGACGCGCAGTTTCAAGCTCAGGCTCCAGAAAGTGTAGGTTGGGAAGACGGCAAGGAATAGGTCGGAAGCAGTATTGATCGCTTTATAAAACCTGTCAGTGTCCTCTTTCTTTCTAGTTGGGTCAATCAACATACAGCACTGCACATAGCCATAGATACGCTCGACGTTTGGATCCCAGCATGTCGTGCTCACACGCACATCCCACAGAGAGTCAACATCCTGACACTGCGCAAGGATGGTAGCCACCGAGACAATATTGATGATGATCTGCAGCGCAAAGATGAACCACAGAATCCATCCCAAATACCTCTCTTGACGTAGGATATTCAACAAGTAGAGCGTAAAGGCAGCTCTTCCAGCGCCAGTGGCGATTATTGACAGACACTGGAAGCCCGTGTAATACTTCAAGGCCAGCACCTGATCTGCCTGGCTCAGGTACCAAAAGTGTCGCCCGTAGCCATGGGCAATAGCCAAAGTGATCATGATGGATGCCGCCAGAGCTAGTACCTGATGCGCATTAATCAGCTGAACACGACTTTCGCCAATTTGGTGGTACCAACCAGCGCACATAACATAGCCGTGTCATTCACTGCATAATGTCGAATGCGGAGTTTGGCAATGACTCGCAGGATCATCACTAGGATGGCGATGGCCGCCGCCGTCCAATTGAGTGCCAGAATACCGGGACCTGCATTGTATGATATTGACTGGAATGACATCAGCAGGGTATTGCGATAGAATACCGGCTGAAGTGGCTGACAGACTAAATATAAATAGAATAAAGGCCAGACAGGCTTAAAGAAAAGTGTACAATAGGGGATAAGTTAAGCTCAACTTCATGGAACAAGGCGGATGGAAAGCAGGCCAGCTGCCACGAGAAACAGTAGGGAATAATGACCCGGTTGTCTGTCCCCCACTATAAATAAGCATGATGATGAATGGCAATGACATTTTCCACCGTGCCGTCTTCTGCCCTGTCCTTCAATTCCCATCCACGGAGCCTTATCTGATTAGAGTTGGCATTAATCAACATGGGCCGTTCTGCAGCATCCTTCAACGCGCGTTTTATGACCGTCGAGGGATGGCCGCCGTTCTCCACCCGCACCAACTGGGAAGCCGAACATGTCCATCATTTACTAGTCTATAGTGGGTTCGTTCCACCGAAGGCACAGTTCAGCCCGTCACCTTATTCAGTCCCTCAATGGGTTTGAGGGTCCAACTTCGGATTATTGTAAGTGTTGTCAATAAGAAGACTCGGAGTTCGATGCTTGTTATCACAAACTAATATCGTTGCCTAGAATCGAGCAGAACTATGTATATATAGCAATCGAGTCCATCTGATCCCATAGAAGGTTCCGATTGCCTCTGGCTGCTTTGCAAGGATGCTTCTTAGTTCAAAGCAGCCATCCCAAGCGGATATAACTAGAAGCGGCGCGGAGCCTGTCATGATTCAAAGCAACCAAGTGTCCCTAGTGTTCGTTTTTGTGCAGTGTTCAGATGAACTAAACTGAATACTTCATGTCGATCATTCAGGCCAACATGACCGAGCGTCGCATGGCAGGAACCTTCATTTTGCAACTCTATAAGGCAGTGTGATTATAACCCCGCAGGCTAACCCAGTTCCGTTCACGTAGAACTGATCATCAACGACCATGACTCAATACAAAAGACATGATTTATTTCCCGGCAACAGACTACCTTGCACGGCTCGGATGTAATTTCCAATCCAGAGTTCGGCGATGGCCTTCCTTCACAGTCAGCCAAGCCGCTCCGAATAACGTGCATCAACCTATATCCACCAGAAAAGGAGATGTTTGCTCTAATGCTCCAGCGAGGATTGCCTGATAAGGTGTAGCCTCCGCCGAGGGTGGCATTGAGTCGTTTCGATTCAAGCCGTTCCTAAAATTCGGTTCGGCGGGTCCGCCGTCCTGAATAGTAACAAAGGGTTTGTCACACCGAACATCAAGGTACGTGCATGGTGGACCCTTTAAAGAATGAGTATCTCCACCAGCGCGAGAATAATTACCCTCTACAGCGTCGGCGAGGGTTCAAAAACACATATAAGTTATCATCACCCTACCAACTATACAACCTCAATGATCAAAAAGAATGCCGTCCGGAGCGGATATGTCGGAGCGAATATTTCGAGAATAACCTCTAAGATGCAAGTATAAAGCCACCGTCTATTACCTACTCCAAAAGTCTTAATTAACTACCCCGCGCAGGCCTACGTACGACAATTAAACTTGCCGTCCACGCCCCACGGTGGCACTGCCCACCTCGGTATAAGGCCCGTCACTAAGCCCTGACTGTGTGTGTGTAAAACACAAAAGGATTCTTTAGTCCGTGCTACTAAATGCAGGAACCTGGGCTGTGGCGATTTATACTAGGAAGCCATGCACACAAGAATGAGAGGAGTTTTAGTGGGACGTTCCTGTCGGTCATTACTATGATCCTGATCAGCTCAGCTGAAGTTGAACAAGGAGGACGGCTTATTGTACCCTTCCTTTTTGACTGCGCTTATTGTAGACCACCTTTATGCATCGCAAGGAAAAGTTCAATGGACCCCTTGAATTGTAATCATCCCCATCACGCCTGTGCATATCACAAGCTCCATTATGAAGGATTAATTAAATTTAATGTCTTCTTCTGGTCCCATATATTATTAGGAAACCCAGCGACCCTGAACATCACCCCATTCAGTGCTGCTGACCAACTGTCCCATAAGCAAAAAGAGGGAGGAGAGGGGTGAGATAAAAAGAACGACAGATCCAACCGCGACTCGAACCCCCTCCCTCTACGACCCACACCCGAGACCTCAAAAACAGCATACCTCTCAAAAGGCGTCTGTAAAAGTTGCAAAAAAAAACTGGTAGCTTCTCTTTGATTGAGCGTGTCATCCTTAGTGCAGGGGCCATGCTAATCTTCTCTGTATCGTTTCAAATTGACCAAATGCCCGAAGGCACCAGTTACTCTTTTACTTTGAATTATATAGGAAGGATGGGTAAAAATGGAGGGTTCTGATTGGTCGGTTCGGCGAGGGGGCGGGAAGGGAGGAACATCAAATCGGCCGAGGTACTGCATCTTCAGTTGGAGTATAGCCGCAGATAGTGCTTTGCTACTCATTGTGTATTTGTAGTGACCAGAGGGCTTGATTTTGCGGGTTTGAGGTAGCGGGATGCAACATCGTTTTTGTTACATTGAGGTGAAAAGAATTCACCCCTGGATATACGCAAGCTTGCTAACTACAGTGTACAGTGCGATTATATGCACATCAGATTGTATTAGAAATTGGTAACTCTGTGATAGTAGTTATACCTTGCTTCCAGATGACAGCATAGAGAGGGAACCCTTGAAGCAAGGCACACAGTGAACATATCCAAGCTTATAAGCAATTCAACGACCGACACCCGTGGTCTCCAAAGGAGAAACTCTAACCAAACAAGAAGCCTATCTTATTGATCCACAAAGAGTCCATTTTGCCAGAGATGCCATAAATCCGACGATTTCTAGCATTTGGGCCGCAAGACGCCCAATTCCAACCTCCCCTGCGCTTGAATCTCGTCGAACATGTAGAGTCAGTCGACGGCATTTGCTAGGGCTGTATGCGCGTTTTGCGGGGGGCTTATAGGACAGTCTTGGACGCTGCGAGTGCGAATGTGCCTGTTGTCTCTTAGTGCTTGGTCGGTGTTCGCTTGTATTTCGCCGTCAACGGTACAATTACATATAACCAGGATTCCATTTAAAATGAAATCCAGTTGTGCCTGGGTAGAAGGTACTGGTCAAATTAGAAAGAATAATGAGAAGTTGCCTACGCCCCAGCGGCGGCCACCAATTCCCCGAATCTCGTACCAGACGCCTCTTTTAGGGCTACCGGATTCCCTACCCCAACGACCTCCCCGCGGTCCATCACCACTACCCCATCAAAGTCCATGATCATCTCGAGCCGATGGCTGACCGTGATGATGGTGTACGCCCGAAACTCTGCCCGAATGATCTCCTGCATCATCTGCTCGGTCTCGCGGTCCACGCCGGAGCTTACCTCATCGAGGAGGAGTATTCCCCTCCCCCCTTGCGCTGCATTGTTGGATCCCGCATCGTTGGGGAAGGATAAAGACTGTGCACGCTGGCGAATCTTAGCTCGGAGGACTGTCCGTCCCAGCGAGAAGAGCTGCCTCTGCCCAGCGCTCCAAGTCCCCGCCGTGACCGGTGCGAGCAGCCCCTCTGCCCGTCCTTGGACGAATTCCCACAGCCGGAGCGCTCTGACGACCTTGGTCATCATTGAGACTGCTGCTCTCATGGTCGACTGGAGGAGAGGAAAGCGAATCGAGTAATTTCAACAGGAGAGCGAGGAAACTGGACTTGCCGCTGCCGGTGCGGCCGCAAATGGCGACCTTTTCCCCTGGGGAGATGGTTAAAGTGATGTTCCTCAAGGCTAAGGCTTGTGGCTCAGTAGTGGTGGCACCAGAAGTTGTTGCCATGCAGTTGGAGTTGGACTCAGAGTCAGATTCAGACACGCTATGGGTGGTGGATTTGTACTGGGCGGATACACCGCGCAACTCGACCAGCCCGCGATCCGGCCAGTTTGTGTCCGGGACGATGTCCTCCTCTCCCCCGTCACAGTCCTCTGGCTTGACGGTCTCGTTGAAGATCTTCAGTCGTGCGATCGCGCCGATGGAGGTTTTGAGTCGGGTGTAATAAATCACGATCCCGGATAGGCTCTCGCCGAAGGTCATGAGCGAGTACATGGATGCACCGGCGAAGGCCGAGTTGGAATGTAGCCGGACGGCCAGCGTGGTCAGGACCGCCGCGATGACCTTCACAACAAGATTAAGCACCAGATTCAGCCACTCCTGGATCATAAGAAGGAGATACGCCGCGCGCTGGCTGGAGTCCACTAGACGGGCGTTCTTGTGGATGTCCTCCGGGACGAATCCGAAGGCGCGCAGCGTGGCAATCCCTTTGAGAGTGTCAAGAAAATGCGTGTACAGCGGGCTCTTGGCCTCCAGGTCGAGCAATCGTAGCTGCCGCGACGTACGGAGGTAGTATTTCTGCACAAAGTAGAGCAAGGCGCCCAGGATCGGGTAGCTGATGGCTATGTAGACGGACGAGGTAAGCATCACGGCGGCTTGGCCAATCGACTGGAATACGCAAAAGAGGGTGTTGAGGGTCGCCTCGGGGAGTTCAGTGTCGATGAGGTTGAGATCCTGAGAGAAGAGATTCGTGACCACTCCGGTGTCGGTATTAGTGAAGAAGGCGAGCGGGGCACGAATCAGGGTACGCAAGGCTTGCTGGTGGAGATTGGCGCCGGCTTTCTTTACCGAGATAATGAAGAGCGTTACCCCTAGGAGGAGGAGGGCGAGGATGGCGCAGACCTGCAGGAGGGCATAGATGTCCGCATAGTAGGAGTGGGAGTGCGCAGGATGGACGGAGTCGGTCGCGTCACTCCAGTATGTGAGCCCTGCATTGATACAATAAGTTATTAAGAACATTGGAGATTGAGGGGAGCAGCAGAGACGCACAGATCGTTGGATAATTGGTGAACAGACCCCACAGGGCTGCAAAGAAAAGACTACAAGCCGCCACAAACCATCCCATGCTTTTGAGATATAGCTTATAGACGGTGGCATCACCTACCTGCCGCGCGGCGGCCACAACTGGGGTAATTGGGGTGGATGATTGCGTGCTGTTGACAGTGATCTCATGTTGGAGTTCCTTGTCAGCCTCCGCCTGGTCTTTATGTTCCTGATACGGACCAGGACCAGGCTCATCGTCAGCGATATTATTATCATCGCCCTCTTGCTTTAGTCCCACCTTCAAACGCCGAACATAGCCCGGACGGGTGGACAAATCAATGAAGGTGCCTTGCTCTTCAACGCTGCCGTTTCCGAGGACGATGATGTAGTCCGCGCTTGGGAGATGCCGAACACTATGGGTGCACAGAACCACCGTTGATCCCCGTTGTCGCAGGAGACCATCTGATCCAAAGACCTGTCGAAAGACTTTTTCCTCAGTATCAGCGTCCAGGCCGCTAAACACATCATCCAAGACCAAAAGGTTGGAAGGAAGGTATAGTGCTCGCGCAAGAGACAGACGCTGTTTCTGCCCGCCCGATAATGCTACACCATCCGACCCGATGTTCGTCTGGTCCCCCTGGGACAGGGTAGCAAGGTCGAAGTGCAGGGAAGTGGCTTCAATGACTTGGTCATATCGCTCGCGGTCAAAAGGGGCAAATCCGACGATGTTCTCTCGGATTGTACCGTTCCACAGAAAAGCAGTTTGTTCACGGAAGCCGACGTGGCGTGGGGAAGTTTGCATCGCGATGCTACCTTGGCTGAAGGGCATCTCACCTAGAAGGGCCTTGCAGAATGTGGATTTTCCTGAGCCAACTGGACCGACGACCATCGTGAGGGACGATGTGGGAATTTGAGCATGGATATTATTCAGGACAAACTTGTCTGGTTTCCATCCAAAGCTCGCGGCTCGGATGACGATATAATTGGAATTTTTCTCCAAACCGCCACTCTGGGCTTCTACCAGGGGCTGCCGATAGTCCTGACGAGGCTCTAATTCCAGAAATGCCTGAATCCGACCCAGGCAGGCCAAGCCTGAAACCAGCTCTGGGACGGACTGGAAGAGCTGCGACAGCGGCTGAGTCAACAAAGTCAGGAATGAAAGACCGGTGAACATGGTCGAGGCATTCAGCGTCTTTTGGGCAAACGCGAAGGTTAACAGAGGGCTGATCACCTGCGGCATAAATGCGAAGACAGCGGCGATGATCATGATCCTGCGATATCGGGCACCAGCGGCGAGTTCATCGACACGCAGCTGCTGCACATACTCCGTCACGGGACCAGCAAGGCCGGATACCTTGAGTGATTTCATGCTGGCAATGACAGTGGCTGTAAGCCCGACTCGCTTCTGGATCCCAGACATCCAAGACCGCTGTGAGTCCCCAGTGAAGTTGATCAGAATTGCTAATCCAACGAAGCAGACTACCACCACGCCTACAGGAGCAACGAACACGACCCCAAGTTGCCGATAGAGCAGCCAGGCGGCGAGACCAGCCTGAATCAAGCTCGCCCATGTCTCGTGCACGAAGCGAAGTCCTATTCGGATGCGTTCCATATCGGTGCTCATAAGCGTCAGCGCAGCGTTATCATCACCTGATCCCATCCGGGCTCTGGTGGCGGCTTTAAACGTCTCAGTGACTAGGATGGAGCGGACCATTGTCCGCAGTCGATGGTGGCAGTACCAGTACAAGCCGTACGAGATTGCAATCCCGGAATAGATGAGTATGGCAGCGCCGATAAGCCCATATCCCACATTTGGACCGGGCTCCGATTGGGACAAATACGTGACGAGGCTTTCGATGAATTGAGGTTGGCAGATGTAGAACGCAATCAAAGCAGCCCTCGGAGGAATAGGAAGGAGTAGTTGCACCCACAATGTACGTACTAGCACCTTCAGAAGGCCGAATTTATCCCCCTTTAGCTTGGTATAGTCCATTTTTCTCGCGAATTCCTCATGCAGGGCTTGTGCGTCGAAGGTACTGTCAAGGGGGTAGAGGCTTTCAATGGTGAAGGTATGTCTATACCCAGCCAAGAAGAGCTTGTTCAGCCAGAAGAAAACACCTAGGGAGAATATTCCACTCGTCTCCTCGGGGCTGTGTTTCGTTGCATCCCAGACCACCCATTTTGCCTTCTGGCAGGCCTCTAGCACCAAGATGGCGGTCTTCAGCCCGACCGATGCACAGAATAAATTGCTATATGCGACCTCGGAAATGTAGTCTGGCGACAGGAATAGAGTCCTTGCCCGGGCAATGTCTAGGAGTAGAGTAAGAAACAAGTAGCTGTTCAGCAGCATGGAGGGACTAGGGCTGCGGCTGTGGTCCACCATACTCACTGTCAGCATGAACAGGGCTGATAGCAGCTGGAGAACGGAAGAAGCGATAAACATGCGGCTAATGTGAAAGGAGCCGACCGCGGTGAGAATGAGGAGAGCAAGTTCTAAGCCAGCGTAGATTGCGATGGCCCCCTAAGCAGTCAGTGGGCAGAAACCGTTTACCCCGTAATAGAGGACATACTATTTTGATGAACTGCAAGACGGGTGCATTCACCACGACGGGCCTGCGTATCCCTGCTAGAGTTCGCCATAGCGATGATGGAATAAACAGGATGGAAGGAATAATCGAGAAAAAGAGAGTCTCGAATTGAAGGTTGAAGTCAAATTGCTTTTGGTCGAAGTGGAGCATATTGCCCTCCCCATTAGTGAAGGGCATTTTGAGAACGTCGGATCCCGCTCCTCCGCGTCTCTACTCTCTCGGGGAAAAGAGAAGGGGAAGGAAGAGGTTCAAGAGCTGACGGTGAAGTTGCGTTATAAGTGCAGTCGCTGTAGTCGCTAGCGCACACGCCATTTTGTCCAGAGTTGATGCAGGGGTAGCATGCCTTATCTGGCACTTGCTATAGGCCGACGGAACAAGGCGCCATTAGTAGTACCTTTTCCGGCACTATATCAGGATCAGGGCAGTATCATGAGACGTGTACTAGGTAGCAGTAGTCTCTGTAGTCAGGCATTTACTTGAGATTTAGACCCCCCCAATAGGCACATATCGGGCAATTCGTGCCCGTCAGCAGCGTCTAATCCAGCTGTAAGCCATCGAATGTCAGCCGTGAAACTACCCACCTAAACCCTATTCTAAACGGATATGCCAAGATGTAAAAGTGGATATAATCTACGTATACTGAGAATCAAGCTATTTAGCCCATCGCCGAAGCGTTCGACATCAAGGACAGCCTACGAGTAGAGTTGGAGGCATGCCGACGCGGTATGCAGGCCATGACCTTGCACGGATTATCTTTACCTCGGGCACAACGGGCAAGCCGAAAGGAGTGATGGTGTATCACAGGGGTATATATGCCGTTTGTACCGTGCAGCACAGCCAGGAGCTAGAGCGCAGCAAGGCGGTCGCTGCCTTCTTGCGTTCTCCATCGCTTTTGATGGCTGTCTATGACTGGCTCACGACCGTGCACGAAATTACCCTGGATATCATCGAGTTCGATGGGCTGACGCATTCGCTGCCTCCATCTCTGATGGCCGACCCCCGCACGAACACATCCAACGTGCTCTGCTTTCTAGATGTCCCGGCGCCGTCGCCCAATTGGAGTCACAAGGACCGCCAGAAGCATTACTATACTTTATCGTGGTATATCACCCAGCGGGGTGAGTTCGTGGCAACGGAGCTGGAGGTCCACAGTTGGAGAAGGTGGATCTAGACTGGGCAAAGGCCGTGGCTGGTCTGCCCTAGAGGAGATCTTGTCGGGACTTATCGCCGCAACGGATTCCACTCGTGTCGTGGAGTTTACTGCCACTTAAGTAGCTAAAGCCACTTTCTGTACCTACAGGTACTGTACATAAAGTGGAGTTCGTTGGGGTGGCATCTTAGACAATAGAATAGTCCTCGCACTCGCCCAGCCGGGTATTTGGAGTCTTGCCACCTGGAACTACTCAGATCGCCCCACAAACAATGATACCGTAAGTTTCGCACGAGAATCACGCCAGTCGGAGGATAGCACTCTCTCTATCCGTCGGGGGGGGGGGGCCTTGTCGGGAACCCTAAACCCACCTTGTAGATCCACAGCATAGGTAGATTTACAGATTTATTGAAGGCCCCCCAACTTGTTACCAGCCAAGCCCCACCGTTGCTTATACTGAAAGATCCTGTTTCAAGTCGCCTAAATAGAGTCATAAATGGTTTTGCATTTGGAAGTCCAACTTGATCAGAAAAATTCAAAAAGTCGGCTTTCTACGGTGACACTTAGCACCCTTTCTAATAATAAACATTAGTGTTTATCCGACCTGTCTACTACGGTACCTAGTTATGGGTTAGTCTACTTGTGAATATGCCTGCTTGGTTCATGTCCAAGTGTTATTGAAATAATATTTCTGTACAACAATAGCAAGTCACGGGGCTTTGAATGGCTTTTGAATCACCTTTCATATCTAATCAGCGCTTTCACTCCGGACAAAATGCTCTAGTTACACAATATGTATTCTAATGGGTCCGCCTTGCAAGCTGCATGTCTTCCTATCTTTACGGATAAGAATCCTAATGACCAAGACCTCTTCTAATCACATATATTATTCTACCAGCTTTGAGGGAAGGGCGGGCACAAAAGTTCGACCCTCTCTCCCAGTCTCTTATCTTGTCATTTGGCTTACAATACAGATACAATATAGAATCCGTCGGTCTCCCGAGAGTCTATCGAAACCAAAAAGCCTAGCTCGGGCTTGGCGTTGACTTTGATTGATTGACAGGGATAGTTCTTTGTTACCCTCTGGGGCCATCTTAGCCACCCATCGGTCCTGCACTAAGTAGATTGGCCCTCTTGTGATTGCGTCAGCGCAAGGGTACCAGATGAGCACTCTAGAAGGCTAACAAATGCTAAGACTCTCTCTGAGGCGCCCCCCTCCCCCCATCCCCCTTCCCTCCCCCGGAGCACCCCGAATTGCAGTTTGACCCCCTTGAAGCTTCTCTAGGGCTCCCAGATCCCCTTTCCAACCACCTCATATAGCCAGCGCATTAGAAGCATTCTCTAGAGCTTTTTCAAAACCGAAGGCACTGCTGAATGAACTATCTATATAATCAGATGTAATAGGGTTATAGCTGGTGCCTATACTAGATAATAGTTCTACGCTCAGACAAACTCTTTGAACATATCTTATAAGTGAATTTACTCAGTCTGGAGATCTCAAGTATAGTAGATTCTAGTATTCTTTATAGATATAATCCTAGATTCAGCACAGTAATTTAATAATACTGGTTATTGTATTAATAAGAAGAGCTAGTCTCACCGACCTCCAGTACCAGAAGGTTTTTGTCAACATGCAAAACAATCCAGGTCTGACCTGTCCAAGATGGTACGTTGACTCCAGTGAATATCTATTAACACGACACAGGGGAGACTTCGTCCGAACGAACCGTCAGATAGCGCAACCAATGAAAAAAGTGTTACAACACATTATCTATTGGACAGATCAGATCTTCACGTATCCGAAATCGTCATTAAGTGCACTGAAGACCTGGGATTGGGTTAGAAGAACTCCGGACATCCGCTTTTCGAACCGACATAAACCCGAGACCGTGGAGACTAGTTGATGAAGAAGCGACTGATATGCAACCGAAATTCACAATTACATCTCTGCCAGATTACATTGACAAATTCATAGAGCTATCCCCAACTCTCATTGCCTAACTAAAAGGCTCGTAATAAAATCCTCGTACATGCCTCGTGGGTGACCGCACGAGGTTGTCCCTGCCTGGGGCCTAGAGACGGAGCCCCTGCCAGTCCGTAGACTAACCGCTACACCACTTGCAAGAGGGAAAGAAGAAGAGTAGGGATAATATAAAACCACATGAAACACCAATGATCGTACGATGCTTTGCATGATCGCCATAATTTCGGGGAAAGCCGAAAGTGTGGAATAATGTTACAGCCTCCGCGGAGCCGTGCTGAGTTTCTGCATTCACTCGGCCTGTAGATCTGGTGCAGATCCTAGTACTCCCCGCGGATGCGACCCTAGATCAGCACGGTGATTTGGTGATGAAAAGGGATGTTACATCGATCGAAAGAGCTACCCGAGCATCTCAAGATCTGCATTGATATGAGTGGGAGCAAGTGTTACCCACATCGCGGTTTCTGATTTTAAGTAGTTACTTGGTCGTCTGTTGCCGTACCGTGGGTATCATCGATGGATGGTTGATCTGCCAAGATACACATTCAATGCCCACGGAGGGTCTACACTGATGATGTACTACATCCGCGCCTTCAATAGAAATAGGGCACTAATCCCATAGATACTGCGCCCATCACTTCGTTTTCAAGGGATTGCCACTTATTCGTAAAACCCAACCATTACATCTGAAATCAATCCATAATGAAAGCTCCTTCCATTGTATCGACACTTCTGTCAAGAGTCCCACCTTCCAATAAAATCATTCCAGATGTGCCGTTGGCAACCACACAGCGTCCAGTCTTTACGGAAGCGGACACGCACGATGAAGAGGCTTCTGCTCCCGATATGTCCATCATGAGCCCGTCCGGATTATCCCATCTAGCGGAAGACTCTGTCCCGTCTGTGGCTCAAGCAGCTGCACATCTGCTGTTAATGGAAGCTATGTGGGTATGGAAGCAAAAGGCAACAAGTGGAGAGATTGCCATTAACCTGCTTGCCTTGCTCTCGGCGAACAGCATAGACCTGCAGCCAGACAATGTGAAAATTCCCAATCAGTTACTGGCTGGGCTTATGGAGATTGCTGTTCCTCGATTCTGCTCGTGGTGGCACGCAGTAAACCAGAAATTATCAAGGACAATGCCTGAGGAAGATTACTTGGAGCTACCAGCCGATCTATTGCCTCCTATAGGTAGCTGTTCCCATATACAGAGATAGACTTTATACAGGCCTGACTGATACTTGCTCTAGATGTTATGATAATCTGGCATGCGTATATGCTACAGCCTGTTATCTACGAGGACGACTGTTCTCGGCTGGACGTACCTCACATGCGCTGGGTTCTGTTCCCCTGGCAGGCAGTGGTAAGTCATAGGATAAACAACCGCGTCAAAACAACAATATTTAGTCTGATCATACTAGGTCAATGCAATCGACATCAAGACGACCGAATACTGCATCCCTTCTGCTGCCAGAGACTTCTTCGAAAAGTCTTCCAAACAATCAGCTGATCTACTCGAAGAGCTCTGTAACGAATCGCATCCGCTGGTTTACGATATAAACTGTCCATACTGCCATACTACCAGAAACCTACCAATTATACCCACCGCCCAAATCGAAGACATCAACCAAGGCTTCGAGCTAGAATGCGACTGCGGCTACGCACCGTCCGTGGACGCACTTCGCAGCGATCTCCTTCATCTCCGCCAAACCAGAGAGTCACGACTACGGGGAACATATTCTAACCCAGTGACACAAGCATCATCAGCACATTACTCCTCAGTACTGCGCGGAATGCGCTTCGTCGACCAGATGCACAAGCAATGCTGGCTGCGTTCACCGGCGCTCTGTGTTCGGTCTCCTACTAATCCATCAAGACTAGTCGGTACCCTGCCACGAGCACAGCAGATATATCGAAATTTTCTAATATCAGCTCGTCCGTCAAATAATCTATATTTTCACCCGACATCAGACGTGGATCTATTCTGGTACACGCACCAGCTCTCTCCGGAACCTTATCACCGGTTCTGTATTCGACATGTAGGGAAGTTTATGGATCATAATGACAACGTGATCCATAAAAACCTGAGTGGCTCGCTCAAGGCTACTCAGAAGGCTTATTCGCAGCATTTCGAAGGTGAGTATGATGCTTGTCTTTGTTGGTCGTGCGAGATAGAGCGGAATGACCAAGAGGTTGCTATGTCTGATGATGGGACACCATCGGCATCATCAAAGACACAGGACTACCAGGAATGGGCACGCCGAGTAGTTTTTATGTTCTGGCAGGAAGTCGAGGCCCGGCGCGAAAAAGGACTGCCGGGCCTGAAAAGGGAGAGTCTAGAGGAAGTTTTGGCGAAGGGACCTCGCAGACGGAGTTCATTGGTCTCCCTATCTTCTCTCAAAGCATGGAAATATTAGCAAGCATAAGATCAAAGCTGGCTAGGGAGTCTTCCAGCCATAATCGATTAAGACCTACGGTTGGATCTCTAGCCTGTAGGATCTAGACTGCGTAAATGACAGCATGCTAGTGGACTACCAAGTCAAAATGAAATATGGAACAATATATGCATGTGGTATTAATATACATGGATCACATCAAGCTCGTCCGTCCTCCAATCTCTTGGCTGCCCTCGCCGTTGGGCATCTCACCGTTCCGTCCGAAGATGAACTCCCGGTAAATACCCGCCAAGCGGCGTCTTTCAGCTGGGCTGAGGGAGCTACGCGTTGTGTTTAAAGAACGTTCCATGTGCTCCCACCGCACGATGATCTCCTCGCGGGGTTCCTCGTGCGCGGTCCCGTTGGGGGCTGCGGTCTGAGTGTTGTTCGCTGTGCCTTGCTCCGACTGTCGCTGGCGTCGTCGTGCGCTCTTGATTGCATCGAGCTTGGATGCGACAACAGCTGGAGAAGGCATCGATACCTTTCCGGCCTCCTGTTCGGAGGCGGAGTAGAGGAACTGGATGAATGACTTGGTGCTAGTGGCTGTCGATGACGAGGACTTTGTGCCATTCTTGGCAGTGGACTTGTCGTTCACGGAGTGGTCGCCGAGGGCATCGTGGACTGCCTCAAGGTGGGCGTTGTATACGACAGCCTGTAGATCAGCTCCGGAGAAGCCCTCTGTACGGGTGGCCACTTCGTCCAGACGAGCAGCGACTTCCTCGTTCATTGCGAGCTTCTCGCTCACTGCTCGGATTATGTCGAGTCGGTCTGCGTGGTTGGGCATGTCGCAGATCAAAGACTTGTCGAGACGTCCTGGTCGGAGCAGGGCGGGATCGATGAGGTCAGGTCGGGATGTAGCTGCAAGGACGTACACTCCGGAGAGACCTTCGGCACCATCCATTTGTGTCAGAAGCTGGTTGACAACGCGATCGGTGACACCTGTAGAGTCGTGTCCACGCTTAGGTGCGATACTGTCGAATTCATCGAAGAAGAGGATACACGGTCGAGCGGCCTGTGCCCGTTCGAAGAGATCTCGGACACTCTTCTCACTCGCACCGATATACTTGTTCAAGATTTCAGGACCCTTGACAGAGATGAAGTTCAGGCCACACTCTCCGGCTACCGCACTGGCGAGCAACGTCTTTCCACATCCAGGGTATCCGTAAAGTAGCAGACCTGAGCGCAGACGCAAAGGACATTGTGCGAAGATAGGCGCGTACTTGGTGGGATACTGCAACGTCTCGAGGAGCATTTTACGAGTCTCAGTCAACCCACCGATGCCAGCAAAGGTCGTAGTTGACGAGGTGAGCGTAACGTTTCGAAGAGACGCGGGAGTAAAGCCCTTGATAGCGTTTTCAAAATCATCTGCCCCAAGCGTGATGGCTCTCGACGATGATGATATATCCTGAACAGAGCGAATAAGAGCCTCGTTTCGCGCGCGGGAGACTAGAAGGACCATATCGCCGGGCATGTACCCGTCTGTCTTGCCAGCAAGTTCCAAGAAATCCACATCCCTACCAAGCACGAACCCGTCTGCCCCGGCTGAGCTGGGACGACTTCCTGGATTGGAAGGGTTTAGCCAGGAGTCTTGCGTAGAGGAACTGGAGTTCCGTGCATGACCGTTCAACGCAGGTGGGACACCTCTGTCCTGGCTGGTAAGTTGCTCCAATACCTTGCGGCGACCTTCCTTGTCCGGTGCCCTCAAGTGTATAATCTCTCGGACGACGTGACCTCCGATAATGACATTGTTCAAGGACTCTTTCGACTGTGCCGTGGCCAGCAGAACCACCGAAGAGTTCATGGTGCAATACTCGCGCACCATCGAGCAGATTACTTCACTGTTCTGGCGACTGCGGCCATTGTCCCCTCCGACCTGAAGCTCTGTCTCGACAGGACACAGCTTGTCAAGATCATCCAGAATCACAAGCGACTGTCCGCCAAGACGTGCGCACCAGGAAGCGGACATGAAAAGGCGGTTCAGCGTTTCTTTGATGTTTGAAATCCGGGTCTCGTCGGTAACCAGTTTCCGACAAGAGAAATATTTTACGTTGAACAGATAGTCCGTCCGCACACGGTGAGCTAGTAGATGACTCAAAGCTGTCTTTCCAGACCCCAGACCGCCTGTGAGCAAGATAGAGGAGGATTTGGTCAGGTTATCGATAGACTGAGAGATAATGCGGTCGATCCCGACCAGTTCAGGAACAGTAGGCGGTATTGCGTCCTCAGATGGATGGGCGGAGGAGCTTGACTCCGCTGGACGGGGTATCTCAGCCTGCACTTCCAGCGATAGCTTAGCATCTGATCCTAAGAGCCAGTTTGTTGCTGGTTTTGCCGTTTCAGAACCAGTCTTCAGCGGAGGGTCAAATCGGAGAATAGCACCGTCGAAACTGGGTCCTGTTGCCTGGTAGTCTGTATTTGGCAAAACCATCCCATCGGTCAAGGGCCCTGCTAGTAACTCCTTATCCGATCCAGTACTCCCATAGATCATCTTGATACGCTCTGCCAATGCATCTCTCGCTGCCGCAGTATCGGACCCGAATTTCAATCCATCTTTCTTCTTTGTCGTATCAGCCATAAAAGGATGTATCTTGAGCGTTTTCACCGTGGACCGCTGTAGCGGCGGAGGGGCCGCCTCGACTCGAATAATACCACCCACCATACCCTCAGCACCGAGAGCAGCAGACAACAGAGTGGATACTGCAATATGCTGAGTGTCCGGAGCATCAGTCCACGGGATCAACCTTGCAACCAGCTTGGCCGCCGGTGTTCCGGCATCGCTACCTTTTTGTTCCGTTTGTTCTACCTGTTGCTGCGGGTCGGGTGGCGCCTTCAGGCCAGCAGGCTGGACAACCGAAATGGAAGCCCATCCTGCACCCCGAAGCTCGTTGGTGGCAAGCATGTCCGGATCAAGCCAAACACGGAACCCATCATTGTTGTCCTCCTCTGCCTCTTCATCAAAGTACTGCTCCGACAGTTGGCGGTCGATTCCCCGGAAGAAGAGGGAGCCCCTGCTCGTCGAGTCAGATCGACTGCCCTTTGCCCGGGCGGTGCTTCCACTACTCCGACCCCCAACACTTCTTCTGCTGCTTCCAGTGACACTCCGGCTATCTCCCCGGGCGCCTCTGTTGGCCTTCGGACGAGTCTTCGGAGCAACAATGACTTCCGCATCTGGCGCTATCTTCGCGAAGGGCGAGGTATTTGGGGGAGCAGGAGTCAAAGATGTGATGACAATGTTGGCCGTGGATGTTGGAGATAAATGCAATGCAAGAGGGTGCATGTGATCAGGTTGAGGCGTCGTGTATGTGGGGTTGGGGAGAGCTCGAATCTGCGACAGAAGGTTAAGCTCGAGGAAGGTCGCGTGAAGCTCAATAACTGCAGGTGATTAGACGAGCCGGTAAATCATAGAAGGGGACCCAAAACATACTCTCCCAATCTTCCGGAGTCAGAGGTTCAATATTAATGGTATGCGCAACGGGTGGATCAAGATGGATGTATATCCCGACCTAGGCGCATTAGCATCTGAGGGTCCCCGTCGCGACCGGCACACTTACCCTTTGGCCATCAGCAAGACCCAAGAGTCGCCCAAATGTTGTGTCCAGCTCTACAGTAGAGATGTCCTGCTCCCTGGCGGCAGAAGCACTGCTGATACCGTCCCTTCCCACGACGGGAGCCAGCTTCCGCTTACTCGGCATTCCAGTCCATCCCAGATAGCATGACCGCTGCGCGGGGTTGCCATTGGCCTTTCCTGTAGTTTGGCGATATTGTAGTTCGACAATTACATTTTGTGCGGCCTAATTTTAAGTCAGCTGAGCTGGAATATTACCGTGCTCTGTCCAGGTGGAATGACTAGCTTACAGTATTGGCATTGATCAGCAGTGCGACCAGCGACGGTGGCAGGTTTACAAGACAGTTCTTCAAAGGTACCAGGGAAACTTCCGCGGTGGTGGAGGGCTTTCGGGGCGCCATTCTCAGGCGCAGGATCGCAAGCTCGTGTGGTCAGCGAACACAGTGAAAGAATTGGAGTCGGGGATCGGGAGATCTTGGGGAGAATGAGAGAAGACCAGACCTCAGCATCTCCCCGGACTCATTAGACTCGCATTGACTCCGCAAACCAACCAGATGCCGTTGGCCGAGGTGGCCCGCCGCCGATGTTCGGGCCGAGAGTTGTTCCTCTCCGAGAGCACGTGCTTTACTGACCAATTCACACTAGACCTGAACTGGCAATAAAGTAGAAATGGCATGAAAGACGCGAAATCGACGCGTTTCGCGACGTGTTGCTGCGGCAGCCGAAAAAGGCAATCCGCCAACTGGGAAGAAACTCCGCCAAGGGACGCTTTGGCCGAACCGCCGCCTTTCTTTTACCTTCTCGGCCCCAGGCAGTTTTAGCACCATCACAAACCCGCTTCATCGCCAGCTGTTGGTCAATTGAACTGGCTTGTTGCCCTACAGCATCATGGCTTTGAACGCTTACACCCTTAACGTCAACTACGAAGCGCAGCTCGATGCCTTCAAGGATTTTCTGAAGCACTTCAAAAGTTTCGAGTCTGCTTCGGAATCGGCTGCGACAGAAGCCATTGAAGACCTTCGCATTGACGAGGATGGCACCAGCGATGAATACGACTTTATGGATGATGTCGCCCAGGAGGGCAGCGCACAGCGCGCTGGTCGCAGACGTCGGGAGCCTAAGCTCAAATACATGCAGGTATTGCAGGAGGTCGCTGACCGGGAGCGCACAAACATTCTGATTGAGCTGGACGACCTCGCCACTGTGAGTGCTTCCTTATTGCGATTGATCTCCCGACCAAGACTGACCTGCTACAGTATGAGAAAGGCCTTTCGGATGACGTGGACCTGCGGCTTGTTGAATCCGTGCAGAAGAACACCTACCATTATATCGATCTTTTCTCTCGTGCGGTTGATGACTTGATGCCGAAGGAAAGCAAGGAGATCACGTAGGTCGAAAATACTATTCTTCGGGGCTTAGAGCTAATCGCGCACAGTTTCAAGGATGATGTACTCGATGTCATCATGTCGCAGCGTGAAAAGCGCAACGAGGCCATGAACATGGCTGCAGAGGCCAATGCCGATGCCGATGCCGCCCAGTCTATCTTTCCACCCGAGCTGACACGCCGGTACACCATGAACTTCAAGCCCCTCACCCCTTCCGGCTCGAGCAGCGACCGCCAGTCCAAGGCCCTTGCAGTGCGCAACGTCCGCGCAGAGCACATTGGTGGCTTGATCACCGTTCGGGGTATTACAACCCGTGTCTCGGATGTCAAGCCAGCTGTTGAAATCAACGCCTACACTTGTGATCGCTGTGGATGTGAGGTGTTCCAACCGGTTACTACGAAGCAGTTCCTTCCTATGTCCGAATGTGTGTCCGAAGAATGCAGGACGAACAACTCCAAGGGGCAGCTGTTCCTCTCCACTCGCGCTTCCAAATTCGTTCCTTTCCAAGAGGTCAAGATCCAAGAAATGGCGGATCAGGTACCCGTTGGCCATATCCCGCGAACCATGACAATCCACTGCCATGGAAGTCTCACACGCCAGCTCAACCCGGGAGATGTTGTTGACATCGCAGGAATCTTCCTTCCCACGCCTTACACCGGCTTCAGAGCCATCCGTGCGGGCTTGCTGACTGATACTTACATGGAAGCCCAGCATATCACGCAGCACAAGAAGTCATACAACGACACGGCCATGGACAGCCGAACTCTCCGCAAGATCGACCAGTACCAGAAGTCCGGAAATATGTACGAGTACTTGTCGCGGTCAATTGCCCCTGAAATCTACGGACATCTTGATGTGAAGAAGGCGCTACTTCTGCTCCTGATCGGTGGTGTCACAAAAGAGATGGGCGACGGCCTGCACATTCGTGGTGACATCAACATCTGCCTCATGGGTGACCCTGGTGTTGCCAAGTCCCAGCTGTTGAAGTATATTGCCAAGGTTGCACCTCGTGGTGTGTATACAACCGGTCGAGGAAGCAGTGGTGTTGGTCTCACTGCCGCTGTTATGCGGGACCCTGTGACGGATGAGATGGTCCTGGAGGGAGGTGCCCTGGTCCTGGCAGACAACGGTATCTGCTGTATCGATGAATTCGATAAGATGGATGACTCGGATCGTACGGCCATTCACGAAGTGATGGAACAGCAGACTATTTCCATCTCCAAGGCGGGAATCACGACCACCCTCAACGCTCGTACCTCGATCCTGGCAGCAGCCAACCCGCTTTACGGCCGTTACAACCCCCGAGTCTCTCCAGTTGAGAACATCAACCTTCCCGCGGCTCTCCTTTCGCGTTTCGATGTCATGTTCCTTATTCTCGATACCCCTTCGCGCGAAGCAGACGAGGAGCTGGCTAGCCACGTCACCTATGTCCACATGCACAACAAGCACCCTGAGCACGAGGATGCCGGCGTTATGTTCACGCCTCAGGAAGTCCGCCAGTACATTGCTAGGGCGCGTACCTTCCGTCCTGTTGTTCCCTCCGCTGTGTCCGATTACATGGTCGGAGCCTATGTAAGAATGAGGAAGCAGCAGAAGAAGGACGAGGCAGAGAAGAAGCAGTTCTCCCATGTGACGCCCCGTACGCTTCTCGGTGTTGTTCGTCTGTCGCAGGCCTTGGCACGTCTCCGATTCAGCAACGAAGTTGTCACCGAGGATGTCGACGAGGCCTTGCGCCTGGTCGAGGTCAGCAAGGCTTCGCTGGCCAACGACGGCCAGTCAAGCTTGGACCAGAGCCCCACCAGCAAGATCTACTACCTCATCCGCAGCATGATGGAGAGTGGCGCTGCGGCTGTAGGCGATGGAGACGGAAGCGAATTGAGCATGAGGAGAATCCGGGAGAGAGTACTTGCCAAGGGTTTCACGGAGGACCAGCTCAACGTGACGATTGACGAGTATGAGCAAAACAACGTAAGTTCATCTCCTATATACTACGTCTATTTGAGCATCTGCTAATCATTCTATCTTATAGGTCTGGCAAGTTCTGGGCGGCGGTACCCGTCTCGTCTTTGTTGATGCTATGGACATGTAAAAGGGCTATTACTTAATTTAGCACGAGTCTGCAGTCATACGTTTCTGCTATTTTTCATCGATTATATCTGAACTATTTATATTCATCAGAGAGACGTGCACGAGGCCATGTGAGATTCCTGTGGGAGGGTAGAACCCGGACCGGTGTTTGGTGTTTATTTCTTGATATCATCACAACTGAATGAATGGCATTGAATAATCAAGCAGTACAACTTGCGTAATATATATATCTAGTAAAGGAGCGTAACAATCTTCCTAACAGCCCTCCACTGACAGATCAAGATCAACCAAATCCCTTCCTCCCCAACCCCCCCCCCCCACAACTATCACTCCATCCCCCTTCCCACCCAAACCTTCCACCTCCTCCAAAATGAATTCAATATCTCAAACCCCACACTGTCCATAAATCGGCACCTCAGAACACAACTGCGCACTCGCTCCATACGGATTATCGCACAGCGTATCACACTGGGTATATTCAGGCGTGAAGACCAGAAACTGATAGCCGGGGACATTCAAGCGGAACTGTTTAGTGATGTCGTTGTTCTGGCGGGAGGCTTTGTATCCCGCACGACAGGCGCAGTGGAAGCGCGTGCCGGTGTTGATGCATGAGGTTGTCACGTCGCAGTGGTTTTCGCCTGAAAGGGGGTTGCAGGTTCCGCATGTTGGGGGGGATGCTGGGGATGCGGATTGGGGAGCTGGAGCTGGGTTGGGGGAGGCGAGGGTTAGGGCGGTGGTGGTGGCTAGGAGGAAGGTGAAGGTGGTTGAGAAGTACATGTTGAGGTGTGGTGTTTGGATGTGCTGGTAATGGTAATGATAATGATTGTAGAGTTGATTTGGGGTTTTGATGGTGAGGATGAGAGGGGATGAGAGGGGATCTTATATCCATTTTCTAGTTACCTGGTTATCTGGAGAAAGGTAAAGGTATTATTAGTATGGACTAAAACTTGGAATAGAGTATGCATTCAAGTCTACTTCGTATAGATCTGACCATATCATCTGGGATCCTCGTTGCCGAAGGACGGAAAACATGGTGGCTGGTATCTCACTATCGCGACTACGACGTCACGAGGGATAACATCCAAGATTAGCTCAGTATGCGGTGATGATTTGGTTTCTCTGAGACATACCAGGACATCGAAAATAGACCATTAAGCTCCCTGTTATATGGGCTGTGCCGGTGGTGGAGGGCGAATACGAGACAGCCCTGCGGACCCAGCATTGACGGGAGGCGATTGTTGCTTTCTTTAGCAAGGTTGGAAGTATGGATTCCATCACTACGGATGGGTCAGAGTTATTTGGGAGATGAGTTATGCTATTTTGAAAGGGTCTCATTCTTTTAGTTTTGATATCGCTCACGGTCAGGTGAGTGACAGGGCTAGTCTGGCAACAAGGACGTCTTGTATGTGGAAATCTCCGAAAGTGGAGGTCAAAGACAGGGTCTATGGTTTGGATGTCCGTTTGGTGGAAGCTGTGATGTTTCAGTTGGGCCAAGTTCAATATTAATGGAGTCGAACTGTCCAAGATCGTAGAGTGTCGCATATACATTCATCCTATCTCGTGACATCCGAACATAAGACAATGGTTACCTTTTGATGTCTACCAGAGCATAAGCGGTGTAGATGTGACTGTTCGATCGAGCAATTTATCTAGTGTTCATATAGTAGGGTTAATGCCATCACTATGACAAAAGCAACCCTTGGTGCTATTATCTGCTGAACGCTGTTGCAGAAGATACTCGCATCCAATGCTGGATCAATCTTGGAGAAAAGAAGTCACGGGCCCAATGCGACAGCAGAGATAGTAAAAGTGTGTGGTATGTCTATAGACAAAGAACTTCCACTACCTAGATATACTTTAAACCTATAAATAACCTTTCATTATGTCATTCCTATACATCTCGACACGAACATTCCGATCACTTCGGAAATAAACCCTACAAGCGCATTTTCGACGCCTCTGGTTCCCCAATCAGCTGCAGGAAGCTTTCATGGACCTCATCGGTGAGATCGCTAGCCTGCATACTCCGTCCCTTGGCCAAAAAAGCACGACGAGAGCACTCCCTCGTGATACTGCTTCCCGCGAACGCCGCAAGAAGCAATGTCGTGGCAGGGGACATCCTCTTGTTCTCGGACTCTAGCTCCGCCTGAACATCTTGCTTGGTCTCAGCCTCCTTCTTGTTGTCCTGCTCTCCCGAATCCCATAGTCCGTTATGGTAAGCCGCCCTCCAGGCCAAGAGGGTGCCCAGCGAGCCAGTAAGCGTATCTCCCTGGCCACCACTCCGCTTCAGCCCGCCCTGAATGTCGGAGACAATGCTGGTGACACCATTTGAGATAATATCATGAGGACCCTTCTGAATGATAGTAACGCCACCCAGAGCCTGAGAAAGCTGTTCACAAGCCCTAGTCTCTTCGCTAGTCTTGTCGCCGGCGCCAGACTTGGAGCCAATCTCGGCCTGACTGGGGACGTCAATGCCCAGGGCCTTCGCCAGACGACTGAACTCATTAACATTAGGTGTGAGAATGCACTCCTTGTAGCCCTTCACTAGATCCGGGTCCTCCGTGACAAGGAGCAGACCGTCCGCATCCAGTACAAACGGTATCGATCGGGACCGCGCTTCCTTCATCACCTCCGTGACCACCTTGAGTGTGACTCCGTCGCGACCTAGACCCGGTCCAATAACTAGGCAATGGAGGCGGGAAAGCATGGAGATGATGGGACTAGCGAGTGACGGGGCGTCAATAGACTCGGGATCTTTGACGTTGTCGCTGCTTGGCAGTATCGGGTGAACCATAAGGTTCGGAGAATAAGTTTTGATGACCTAGCCACGGTCAATGACAACAGACATGCTTGAGTCTAGCAGACTGCAAACTTACAACTGCAGCAGACTTGTCACAAATTACGTGACTCTGTGATCTGTCAGAAAGTGTATACAGCGGCTAACGTTCTGGTGAACAGCCTACCATATCGCATCCTGCAATGCCATGTCAGCTAAAAGCTAGCTATACTAGCATTGAATAAGTATCTTACCCAGTCTAGCCGACGCCATTGAAGAGAAGTAGGGAGCCCCTGTGTAACTTGGACACGTTCACAATCCGTTCGCATGAAGAGGAGCGGGGTGAACATACTCTATACTTCCTCCGATGACAGCAACACGTCCCTGTTGTCCTTTGATCTGTCAGAAGAAAATTCGTAAAGTGAAACACTGAAACTGTAATGTCAAAGCCCACCTTTGTGGAATTTCTCAAGCATCGGAGGCACCAGATTGCGCGCCTTCTTCAGCAAAACCTTGGACGAGGTTGTAATGTGATGAACCGACGACTCCATGATGGCGAGCGAAATAGCGACCGATCAGTATGCTGAATCTGTAACTGTAGAATGGTATACTATGCGTTCTATAATAAAGAGCAGATCGACTGTGCAGCAATTGAAGAGAGAAGTAGTAAGTAGAGAGAAGAAGCAGCAGCAGCTGTAGGAGCAGAAGGAAGAGTGATGTCACCGCCTACGGGTGGGGCAGATGGGGTCATTTCTCGATAAGAATCCGGTCTTGATTGCTTTGCTCAATCCTTACTATATATTAATCACATTACCAGCAATGACGATGAGAGTGGTCAATATTTGCAGCTATCCAATCGCATTCAATGCTACCACGAGAACAGTGACAGTAACAGACACGCCCGCTATTGTATGTAACTAGCAATGTTAATATGTGAAGTGAAAATGAAGATAATCGCCCTCCATCTATCGACACCTTGACGCTCGCTGATGCTCATCCAAAATTGGTACAGAAATGAACAAATGAAAACAAAGAAGACCAGTAACGTCGTATGTAACGCACCCTCGGGGTATTCCTCGCTGATGCTCCGTATCCAAACAAGAAAACAATGAAAACAGAAGGGGAAATCCAAGAAAATTGTGTGAGTCCGGGTAAGTCGGCTTGCAGGGCTAGCAAAAAGCTTGATTAGGTAGGTATATCGTGGAAGCAAAGGACTTCTTCTTATCGTCGCGATGCCAACGAAGCGAGCTTCTTGCGACGATCCAGTTTCTGCTGCTTGGCGGCAAGCTCTGCGCGCCATTCCTCCTCATCTTCCCGTCGGGCGGCCGCCAGTGCAGCAGCCTCCTCTTCCTCCACATCGTACAAGCCCGCCTCCATATCGGAGGATTCTGAATAGTAGTCGTCGTAGTCATCGGCATAATCACCCTCGTCTTCCTCATCAGTTCCCAGGTATTCATCCATCCGAGGCTTGGAACGAGACTGTGCTTTCCGGTCGCCAAGTGTTTTGCGTGGTGGCAGACCGGCGGTTCCTCGGTATTCGGGCTGGCCTGTAGACGGAGGTCTTGCGGTTCCTTTGTAGGATAATGGCTCGGGTTCCCTCTTCTTGACGACCTTGCCGTCACCGGATTTCGTGCCTGCAGCTCCACCAGCAGTAACGCCTGCCTTCTTGGCGAACCGCACATCTTTGTCCTTGGTCTGCGCCTCCACTGCCTTCTTCTTGCGTTCGACTTTGCTGATCTTCTCCTTGGGGACAGATTGGTGTTTGAACATGCCAACTTGAGTCGGGGCTTTCTCTTGTAGTGCTTTAGCCTTGGCCATGAGATCCGCAAAGGAGCCTTTAGGGGGAGGCTTCGATGACACTGGAGGCGCCTTCTGCTGGGGGGTTGAAGAGCGGCTCTTGACTGCAGTGGTCGCTGTTGTAGAAGGCGCGCTCGGACGAGGTCTAGGAGCTGTAGATACGGTAGACTTCGCCGTGGTAGTGGTATTGGTTGTTGATGATGTTGCTGTCGCCCTGGTAGGTGCTGGAGTAACAGATTTTGCAGGACGAGCTAGCTGCTCCTCGGCCTTTCGCTTGATTCCAGAAACCAGAGGTTTGCGCTCTGAAGCGCCATCTCGAGAGACGTTAACCGGTTTGCGGACCTCGGTCTTAGCATTTGAAGAGGTTACAGGAGGCGACGGTGAGGCAGAGGTGGGGGGGATTGGAGACGGTTTACCCGTCTCGATAGACGAAAGAACGGAATCGAGAAACTGTCGTATGATCAGCAAAAGCCATCAAACAGCAACCATCCATAGAGACCTTACACTCATTTTGTCACCTCTTAGGCAAAGAAAGCGCCAAAAGCTATCGAATATGAGTAGTAACGAAGGGGGGTAGTTTCACCGTCGGTGGTTAGTATGACGGGGTACCTTCATGACTTGTTGCGGAACCACTAAAAATCGATCGTTTTCAGATTAGAGATAAGCCAAATTCACGTCTTAGTGCCAGGCATAAAGCACGACGTGAATTAAGGCCCAAAGCCGATGCCAACAAAGCGATAGCTGGATACAACGAGGTCGACCAGATAAAGCCGCCGGGCAAAAACGGTGCAAGAAGTCGCCATCCTGTCTTCTAGAAGCAGCGACCCCACGTGACCGGGGCCCAAGGCATGGGAGTTACCGCATGCGCCACGCCCGCTCGCTTAGCCGGAACTAGCACGATCTGCACTAGCCACAACCCACCAGCCGCATCGCACTTTTCTTGATTTTCAACTTCGGATTCCATTTCTCTCTTTTTCCGTCCATCACATCGCTCAACCCCCAGCGAACTCGACGTGTCAGTCTCCGCCCAACTTTGCGGTTAAATCGATTGATTCTCGTGTTCACCACCACAACTGTACGTTGCCCTCTTGATTGCTTCGTTGCGCACATTCGACAGTCCGACCACGATATTCCCGGCGCAGTTGTTCTGACAGGTTATTGTGCAGATTCAAAATGAAGTACCTCGCTGCCTACCTTCTGTTGGCCCTTGCTGGCAACAACACCCCCTCCGCTGAGGACATCAAGTCCGTCCTCTCCGCCGTCGGCATCGACGCTGAGGAGGAGCGCCTCCAGAAGCTCCTTGCTGAGCTCGAGGGCAAGGACCTCCAGGAGGTTAGTTAACGCCCATATAAATTTTACCAGGAATTGCGATTTACGAGATGGAATACTGATGATGATTTTTCAACTACAACAGCTCATCTCCGAGGGTTCCCAGAAGCTTGCTTCCGTTCCCTCCGGTGGTGCCGGTGCTGCTGCTGCTGCCCCCGCTGCCGCTGGCGCCGCTGCTGAGGCTCCCGCTGAGGAGAAGAAGGAGGAGGCCGCTGAGGAGTCCGATGAGGACATGGGCTTCGGTCTCTTCGACTAAGCGCCTTCACTCCGAACACCGAGAAAAACGTAACAGTTCGTGGGGGAACAGAAATCTGGCGGTTATTTTCAGTCTAGGGAGGAAAATTACCCATTGGTCCAGTCAAGCCGGTGTTTGCCAGGCTTTATTGATGCAGTTACGAATTATGCATGCGTGAGCTGGAAAAAGCTTTAGCCAATACAGATTCTCTGACCTCCCGATTGATTGAGTGACATTACATTTCGTAGAACGTACGTAGTATGGGATTCTTTGCGCGGGTTTCTCTGTAACTACTAGATACGCTTCCTTAAACTACTACCAAAAACGGTAAGTGCTGGTCAAATTTTATATAAGAGACCATTGAAATGATTACAACAAGCCAATAAGCTCCGACAGAACCACGATTTCAAGCCCAATCGATCATTAATCCATTGATAGTCCATAGATACCCCATACAAATCTTTAGGGCAGCTGGACCGGCGGCCCTATAGATGGGTTCCCAAAGCGGCCTAGTGTAGTAGGGTCGCAACCCTAGACGGGTCGCTTAGACGAGGCTCCAGCCCACCTCCCAACCCAGCGCAGAGGCACAAGAGACGCCCGACGTACGTTCATCAGCGACACGACACGACAACCCATCGTCCTTTCGCTTTTCGAGACCCGTTCGGAAAGCGACCTTGAGAGGAACACCGCAAAAATGGCTGACGAGCACTACGTGAGTTTTCCGATATCAGAATACATGTTAGAGAGGACTAGGAAGAGTTTGAACTAACGTTATCTTGCCTATAGAACGCCGAGGAGGCTGCCGGTACGTTTGAATTTTTCACCTGAATCACCTTTCCCTACCCTGGACCCCGGAAACAGAGACGAATTCGCGTTGTGAGATACGGTATTTGGTTGGATATGCGATATAATATGGATATATTTCGATGATGCGACCTTTGGAAATTTTGAGGAAGGGTTGGGGGGCAACGGACCGAATTCTCTGTCGACGTTTCTATTCTTGCTTTTTTACCCGCACACCAACTACGAGAACCACGCAGCAATGAAGTGAAGGGAACATAAGGCGCTGACGTATCCGGGATACAGAGATCAAGAAGAGAAGACAGTTCCGCAAGTTCACCTACCGCGGAATTGACCTCGACCAGTACGTTCCACCATGAATATATATCATACCCACACTGCACTCCGATCCGACGGCCTCGACTCCGAACGAGCGATATCAGCAATATGGACATTTATGGATATTTGCGGAATATCCTCGTGGGAGTCGACGGTCGAGGGACGGCACATGATCACACTATCGAAAGAACCGGAAAAAAATGACATGGAATGGAAATCTGACCTGTTTATCTGCACAGGCTCCTCGACCTCTCCTCCGAACAGCTCCGTGATGTCGTTCACGCCCGCGCTCGTCGTCGCTTCAACCGCGGTCTGAAGCGCAAGCCCATGGGTCTCATCAAGAAGCTCCGCAAGGCCAAGCAGGAGGCTCGCCCCAACGAGAAGCCCGACCTCGTCAAGACCCACCTCCGTGACATGATCGTTGTCCCCGAGATGATCGGCAGCGTCATCGGTATCTACTCCGGTAAGGAGTTCAACCAGATCGAAGTCAAGCCCGAGATGGTTGGCCACTACCTGGGTGAATTCTCTATCTCCTAGTACGTACCCACAACTTTCTTCATCTTGCGTACTCGCAAGAAAACTATACATATGAATAGATATGTCTAACAACCACACAGCAAGCCCGTCAAGCACGGTCGTCCCGGTATCGGTGCCACCCACTCTTCCCGTTTCATTCCCCTCAAGTAAAGAAGAAGAGCTTTATTGGATGGAGTGTCTCGTCGTGTGGAGGAGGAACTCGGGCGTACGGAATGTTGCTGGGAGGATCTACGGATAAAGGAAAAAAAGAATTCAAAACTGGATGGATACCCATATGGCATTTCTTTGGGTTCTCATCTTCTTACCTTGTATGTCCAAGTGCGGGTCAGCTGTTTGCATCTCAATATAAAGGTCTTGTCGGCAATCATGAGAACGAAAAAAGAAACCAAAAAAACAAAGAAAGAAACCCAACCGGATCCTTCCTAAACCTTTTTTACGATCCAAGCCCTGGATGGATGGGAGATGGGGGCGAGCTCACAGGCTAAGTAGGCTTTGCTGTCTTCGGCAGTCAGTCTAATTTTAACGATTTCAACTTTTCATCATTTTCACTCGTTAAGTTACTCGTGTAGACATATATCCCATCATCCCCTTCAACATCAACCACTTTTTTATCCTAGTATATCTATATACTCTGCCCCAAATCCCTAACTACCTTATCCACCTTCCCCCACTCCCTCCCAATCTCGCTCTCCAACTCCCTCGAACCCCTCGGATCCAACCCCGCAGCAACAAACTCCCCCCTCACAGCCCGAAACTCCCTCTTCACCAACCTCCAAAACCCAGGCCCTGTTCCCCCCGTTTCTTCCCCCCTAACCAACGCCGCCAAAACCGACCAAATAACCAGATTGAAATTAACCTCGTACTTTTCCAACGCAACCTCCTCACCACCACCACCAGTAGATTCCACTTCAACGCCCTGCGACAAATGAATCGCCAACCTAGCCAACACCCACGCATGCAACAACCGGATAGGATGGCCCTTGAGCGGGTACACCACGGGATCGACAGCACGGTATCGGGCCGCTGCGTAAGCGAAGGCAGATTTGTATTTCTGTTGGGCGAGGAGGGACGTGATGAGTTCGTCGAGGAGGGAGATGGAGGGCTGGGTTGTTGCGGGGATGGTGGCGTTTTGTAGGGTGGTGAGGGCTTGAAGGAGGTGTTTGGTGGGGTTTTCTAATGTAGGTAGAGATTGAATGATGTCGTAGGCTTCTTGCTGTGCTGGGTGGAGGGTCGTTGCTGTTGACGAGGCTGCTTCTGAGGTACATTTCGAGCAGTGGCAGGTAAAGTAGTATCGGGATTGGAGGTTATGTTGGCGAATCGGATAGGGGTCTGTTACGTCTATGTAAGTGATGAAGATCTGCTCGCCCTTTTGGATGGGTCGGAGAGCTTTGATGTGTAGATTGGGGCCGTCGAAACTGACGGCGGCGTTGTGGTCGCAGCTGTGGTTGAAGATGGCGGCGTATGGGTGGAGGTAGATGCCGAGGCGGTCGTAGACGGCGTTGGTGAGGTTGAAGGAGTTGAGGTCGAGCTTGAAGAATGTGTGAGTTGTGTTCGAAGGGTATAAGTGTAACATTGTGTGTGGGTGTATGTATGTACGTACCTTAGCTCCCATAGCAGATATGACCTCTTCACTCATCTCCGTACCAGAGTAGGCCTTGATCGCCTTCGAGGAAAGGGATATACGCTCCCATTGTGACGCACTCTTGTCACGAATGTCCTTAATGTGCGTCTCAAGCTGTAGGAACTGATCCAGCTCCTCGTCGGAGTACTTTTGGCGTTCACTGCGCAAGACCATGCGGAGCACGGCTCGTGCGTTGATAGGTAAAATACGAGGCTTCAGTTTCTGATAGATGGTACATTCGAGAGAATGGCCTAGTCTCCAGTCCTTTGCTTGACATGTCTGCGAGAAGAGTTAGTGATGGTGTTCTGAGAGTGGGGAGGGCAGTTTTCTCGGACCTTATCACAGTACTTCACAACACCGCATCCTCTGCACCCTTTCAGAGCAATCCCTTCCTCTTCGAGCTGTCTTTGACCGAAGCAGCCGGAACATACTTCTCCTAGGTGCTCTGTGTCTAGGACTGCGACGAATGGAACGGGGATGTGTAGCACGTCTTCGCCAACGGCAATGTCTGTTGAGGCGAAGAGGCCTCGTCCTAGACCACCTGGGGCGGGCTGGGGTGTGGTTTTTGTGTTCATTGGATCTTGTTGGTTTCCATGTATTAGTCTGGAATATTGGTTGGATTGCTTAAGGCAGGATAAATAGTTTGTAAGGTCCTGTAGTTGTATATCATTGAGGTTATAGAATTATTTCCCTTTTCGTCTAAGCTTGGCGTGGACGGGCTCGGAATGGAAAAATGTTTCTACTCGAGGCTTTTCTTCTATACAATTAGATTGTGGTACGTTGCTGTACAAAAAAAAATTAGGATGGAATTCGAAGTAGTATGATGCTAACATAGATTACGCATACTGCGTCAAGCTCAAGGTTGTCCGTGACGCCAGAGACCGGGTTTCCTCTACTTGTGTGGCTGAGTCAACCGCCTCGCAGGCCAACTTTGGTGGATTACTCCTCTCAATCATGATGGCAAAGAGCATAGCTTATAGTGTTGATCGATGATAATCACATCATAATGAAGCTGCTACAACTACAAAGCACGGAATTGGCCATAATCATATCAGAAATCGAAATTGGATATAATTGACAGGCTATACTACATACAACTAGAATCAAGAATAATTGACCTTTCGCTCAAGCACAAAGCCGGCCTACAAACCTATAGACTGCGAAGCAAAAGACAGCAGAAGGAATCATCCACAAGGCCAACAAACCAGAAAAGAATAACCACAGAGCGCATGACCGTATTCCTCATATCGTCTTTTTTGAAGACGGAGTAAACATATCTATCAACATGGAGCCTTATCCGCTACGCCAAACACGGCGGCTTTTCTGTGCCTGGAAAGATGAACGAATACAAAACCGTGATTATATCTATGAAATCAAACTTTTCGTCCTTTTGGTGGGTAAACTTGCGTTTACAGCAGCTTGCCGCCAGTGAAGTCGGACCAGGTGCGGACCTCGGAAGGAATGCCATCGGGACGGGGCAGCTTCTCGCTCATGGCCTGGGCGAAGAGGAGGGCAGTCTACAAAGAACAGTTAGCATCAAAACAAGTGGAGAGGAAGAGGAATGAGTTGCATACCTTGGTCTCCATGAAGAGAGGAACGCCGAAGTCAACGGCGTTACGTCTCATGACATAGTCCTCATCGAGGAGGGACTTGCCACGGGTCTTGGCAAGGTTGAAAGTACCACGGATGTTGTACTTCTGGAAGACTTCACGCAGAGCACGCTTGTCCTGCTTGGGGAACTCAATGACCTGCACGGGAACCTTGGTAGCAGCCTCAAGGTGCTCCTTGACAGCGGGGCTAGCAGCAAAGAACTGGAAGTCGAGGGGCTTGAGGTACTCGACGATCTGGGCCAGGGCAGGGTTGGTGATATCACCGCCGAGCAGGATACCCTCGCCAGCCTCAGGGCAACGGAAGTTCATGGTAGCCTGCAGGGAAGCCCAGTAGGCCTCAACGACATCCTTACCGAAGCAAGCAATCTCACCAGTACTGGCCATCTCGACA